AACGTACTTGGAATGGGAGGCTAAGAGGATTAAGTGAGAGAACAGACTGGGAATCTTGGCCTTGTAGAGGGCTGTGGCCAGCCCTCCATAAATGATGGACAGTGTCTTAGTATACGGACTCTACGTGCGCCAGACTGAGTAGGAAGAACAGGTAAGATGAGGTTAGGCCCCATCACATGGTTCAGTACTTTACAGTTTACAAAGCCCCATCAGATCCTGCTCACTGGGATCTCCATTCATCACACAGGCAGTCTGCGCTGGCTGCAGTATCCCCACCTGACAAATGAAGACCCCGAGCCTAAAGAGGGGGCCGACCTGCCTTTCAGAGGCCAGGCCAGGCCCAGAACCCAGGTCTCCCTGCTCTCAGTCTCCTGCCCTCTCCTCAACACCCCTACCCTGAGCCCCTCCAGAACCTGGTTCCTGCCCTCTGGAAAGGGCCCCAGAGAAGACCTTTGTGGAAAATAAGAGGAAGGGTGGCAGGCAGGGAATGTGATTTGTCAGCCCATATGTCAGGGGGCTGAAGTTGCATGCTGGTGGCTTTAGCCCGAAGAGGGTCACTGTGACTGGTAGGCCCAGAGTAAGGGGGCAAGAGGAGGTCATGTGTAGAGATGGACCAAGTTGGGGTGCAGAGGAAGAGAAAACCAGTTGTGTGGGCCATGCTCAGCCTGAGCTAGTTGGGGCTAGCCTGGCCAGGAGGCTATCAGCCTGGTGTACCAGAGGTCCACCCAGGGCCCTTCGCAGATGCTGCTGGAATGTAAGAGACTTTAAGGAGAGCCAGGTCTGTGGGAGATGGCAGTCAGGTCATGGCCACTGCCCTTGAGGACATTCATGTCAGCTCTGGAAATAAGACTCTGATCTAAGCATGAGGACCTCTCATGTATAGGGCACTTTCTAAAAGGCAGATTCAGAAAGACAGGGTGACTGGCTGCCCCGCTGAGCCTCAGCGAGGAGAAGCGACCAGCACAGACGGCCTGGGTCCCACAAAAATGAGAGCTGGTGTGCAGGTGCTGGACAGGCAGGTCTGGCCCCAGATTTGCAGAGCTCAGGACAGAAATACGAATAGAGACCCATATATGTTTGTCAGATATTTGAAGGTTATGAAAAAGACCAAGAAACTATTAAATAAGATAGTTTCATTTTCCCACTTTGATAAATATAACTTCATGACGAAAATTGAAATATACATGTAAAGTTATGTTTTTTTGGTGGGGGGGATTAGGGTTATTTATTTTAATGGAGGTACTGGGGATTGGACCTTGTATATGCTAAGTGAGCACTCTACCACTAAGCTATACCCTCCCCCTTTAAACTTATGGTTTTGTATGACTCAAAGTGACAAAATATCAAGGAAGAATGAATGTAGTTATTATTGTACATCTGGGTGTTGTGTTGGTGGGCTGGTGATGTTTGGATGAATAATAAGACATATTTCATACATTGTTATTTATTTCATAAGATGTATTTTATTATCTTCATTTTAGCAAGGACACTGTAATTGTTATAACCAAGATTTCCACATCATTTGAAAATTCTGTATTGATGATAATAATCTGAAGGATCTGAAATAAAATGCAGTTGTATTTAAAGTGCATAGAATTTGAATATATTTCCATCAAAAATGTAAATTAAACATAAAAAGAAAATTTCTATTTTCAAAAGTTGGTTTTATTCCTTGAAATTATCTATGAATTTAAAACTATACAATCATAAATAACAAATATCTGATTTTCAAATAAAATGATTTAAATAGACATAAAATAGTAATTCAAATTTTTGAAGATTTTGTAAAAATGAAACTATTCGCAGTTTCAGTGTTTAATGTTCATCTAGCTGCCAATGTGAAGGGTTAGTATCACATTCCATGTCACATTGATTTGAGTAACATCAATTGTTAAAGACTGTAAGATGTTCCTCAGCTGCCTTGTGCATTTATTGTGAATACCACACTAATTCACAAGTACTTTTAGAACCACAAACTGGAACAGGGAGAAAAGCCAAAAAGAAAAAAAAAAAAGGATACTCAGCATTACTGGGAAACGGATACTTTGTTATGCAAGAAGCTGTTGCACATTGCTCTCTGAAAGGATTTGACAAGTTTAATTTGTCTGCCCCTCTAAACATTCTTGCCACTTAGTTCCCTCTGTCTGCCTCTCCCCGCCCCTGCCCCGAGTAGTGTCCCAGATCCCCCAACCCCTCACCCCCATCAGCAACCATGCAACCCGCAGACTTTCATCTGGACAGAGTCACCATTTGTTCTTCAAGCCCAAGAAAAGGAATTTCTCTGGGACCTGGGACCTGGGACCTGAGCAACGTTAGGGGAGCAGATTAGCCTTGTGGGTCCCAAGGATGGTGTGTGACTGAAGTTCTGTATGTTCTGTAATATACCTGTGGAATATATAACGTTTGTGGTGTGTGGGACTCAGGGCATGGCCTTCTTCCCTGTGCCTAAGTGTGATTCAGGGGGTGTCTTCTTGCCAATGAGATCTCTATCCTACAGCAAACAATAAATAAGTGATGGTGCTTATGCTACAGCTGGAGCTTAAATCTAGGTATTGGCATTCACTCATTCATTTCTCTCATATATGTTTTTGTTCATTTATTTAAATCTAGATTCACGTCCATGAATCCTTTATTTCATTGTAGAACAAAAGGCCTTAGCAGTCTTGTAGTACAGTCCCATGAGTCTACAGATGAGGGAATTGAGGCTCAGAGAGGGACATTGATGTACCTAAGATCACACAGCAGAGAAGCCCCCTGGCCATGTTTCACAGTGCAGAGGATGGGTGCTGCGTTTGAGTTTTCTGTAAAATCTGAATAAGTGTTGCTCTGTCTCAGTCAGCTTCCCTTCCTTCATCAGACTCTGCCACCCAGGCCACCTGCCCTGGGGAGATCCTTGGAGGAGGGGGGTTCTGTTTGAAGAGCTACTTCCTGTTTGTGGCCAAGCGCTTCCTTCAAGTGACTCACTGGTCCCCAATGGTCCCCTGCTGGGAAGCCAGTGAGGGGGTGGAGACAGGTCTGGGCTGCATCCCCTGCTTGCCACCCCAGCTGGGTGACCCTAAGACCGAGTGCCACTGACTGGAATTAAATGGGTGATGGAAGGAAGATGCTAGACTGTTCTCCTGGCCCAGACTGTGGGGGGAGGGGCGGGGGTGCTGACAGCAGGGCTGGAACCCCCAACCCCGACCCTACCCCGAGAGAACTTGTGACACTTTCTCTTCCTTTCAGGACAGTAAAGTGTGATGGAAAGAGCACTAGGCTGGGAGTCATGGACTTGAATTTCTGACACTGACTTTCTGGTGACCTTGTCAGTCCTGGCCCCTCTCCAGGCCCCAATATCCATGTCTGTCTAATGCAAGGAGGGCTTGCTGGCTGGCAGATGTTGTGGCAAATTGTTATTGCAGGATTTACACTAAGTGGTTTGTGTTTGAATTGTTGCTCCAGTGCCTTGCTGAGTGTCCACCTCTCAGAGCCTCCATTTTAAAAATTTTGAAATAATAATCATTATTTTAAGCATTTTACATAATTTAATCCTCACATCAACCCTATGGGGTATATTTTATTATGATGATTATTGTTTTATATGTAAAGAGATTGACGCACAGAGAGGTTAAGTCACTTACCCATGGTCACACAGTAAGAGCCAAGATTCTAACTCAGGCATTTTGACCCCAGTGCCCATGCTGTTAACAGCTGTGTTCTTGCTCCTCAAATTGTGGTCCCTGGACCTGCAGCATCAGCATCACACAGGAGCTTCTCAGAAATGTAGAATCTCAGACTCCAACCTAGACATGCTGATTTGGATTGTCTTTTAACAAGATCTTCAGGTGATTTGTTTGCACATTAAAGTTTGAGAAGCCCTGCTCTGTTTATTTTCCCTCTGTCACTTAAGCCTTAGGATCATTGTGGGAGATAAAGGAAATAAGTGTGTTTTATAAACTGTAAAGTGCAGTGCATTCAGGGCTTAGTGAGAAACCTGCGGCCTGGAGGTGGAGGGCAGGGCTGGGGGCCTCCCAGGAGTCCATCTCTCTGCAGCTGAATGTCATTTTCAAGCTGTCTCTGAGCTCAGCTCTGTGCCCCTCCCGTCCAGGGCTGAGACTTGGCTGTATTTCTTGCTGGTGTGTGGCTCCAGGGCCCCATCAGGTTGGAGAGAATTCTGTTGACATGGGATTGGGCTGGGCACTAGGCCTGAACCAGTGCTTCCCTGGGTATGCCAGGCACCAGGAGGCCTGGGTCTCACCCTGGCTCTGACTCTGACTCTCTGGGTGACATAGGTAGGCCCCTGGCCCTGCCAGCCTCAGTGTCCCCTAGTGGGCAACGTGGCAGCATTGATACTCCAAAGCCTTCAGTGCTGACCTGGAGCCCCCTTCCACTCTCCTCTTCTCCCCAGGGCCTGTCAGTACCATCTCTCCTCCCAGTTCCTGGGCAGGGGGGCTGCCCTGCTGGCTGTAGGAGCTGGTGATGGGGAGGCAGTGCATGAGTCAGAAGTCAGCCACATAATTGTGGTGCCCCAGATCCCGCCTCCAGCCCACCGGCCCTCCCTCAGTGGCTGCTTGAGAAGACAGCTGGTTTGGTGTCTGCCTCCAGAGAAGCAGGTCCCTGGGCAGTACAAAAGGGCCTCTGTCGCCCAGGAGCCAGGCACAGCCCCAGGTTTCATCCCAGGGTGGCTGGGCCTTGGATCACATTTCTGTGGGTCCTGAGAGGGCAAGAGTGGTTCAGGGAGCAGGTTGTACTGGGTTCGAGGCTGGGGATGGTTTGTGGGCAGCGTGTGTCAGGGTGGGATTGCTTGTGTGGGGTCTCACGGCCCACGACTGGTTCACATATGTCTCCTGGGCTCACCCACCAGCTTGGCGGCTTCCCCAGGGAAGGGACTAGATGTGACCCATCCCTGGGCCCCATACCCAGCACAGGGTGAGCACAAGGTGAGGGTTTACTGAGAGTTGGGTGGGAGGAGAGAAAGCGGGGTGGACTGATGTGTGATCTGACTGGGTTTGTCCCCTCAGCTCTCCCAGTGAAGTGACATCACCACCTCCGTGGACAGGACCCCCTTGGGAGCCCAGCTTACAGCCACTGGTACCTTCTTCCAGGTAAACAAAAAGCAAGGAAGGAGGCGGGGAGAAAGGAGTTAGAGGCAAGGGAAAACAAAAAAAATGGAGACTCTGAGTCGTCTCTTGCTTACTCCAGGGGACCAGGTACTTATCTAAGCACCCTACACATTTTAGCTCATTTAATCCTCACAACAGCCTGTGAGGTTGGTCCTAGTATTAGCTCTACTTTATAGACAAGGAGACCGAGGTACAAAGGCATTGAGAAGCCTGCTCAGTTAGTAAATGGTAGAGCTGGGTTTCAAGCCCGGCAGGCTGGCGCTGGGTGTACATTTCTAACCCCTGTGATTTACTGCCTCTCTAGAGCCAAACATTAAACTAAATTTCCTTGACCTCTAATTTGAAGGTTTAATGGGCTCCCATTTCCAGGGGAGATATTTATTTTAAGAGAGAATCCTAGAGAAAGTGATGCTTCAACCAAAGGAATGAATGGTGAATGATGAAATTGGAGGCCTTGAATCATGGATTTGGCATGAACCTTCAAGGTGTGTTGGGTCAGCCAACCCTAGGGACTTTCTTTTTCAGCATTCGAGCAAGGTCTTTTTTTTTTTTCCTCAAAAGGAAACCTGGAAATTTGAAACAGGGGGAGGAAAGATCAGGCCCCAGGTTCTCAGATTTGCCTGGAAGTAGAGGGCTTGCTGCTCACCACAGAGCACCATGGTGAAGAGAGATGCATATGACAGTGAGGAAATCAGTATTCTGTGCTAAATCTGAGGTCCTCTTATACTAGACCTGGAACAGAAATGTGCAAACAGGTATCAGAGGCTTTAGAAAAAATTGTGGGAGAAAATACTTAATTGAGCCTTTTTTTTAGTAACTTAAAATTTTCTGTAAATAGGGAAAAAGCTAATTATTATTCAGAGGCAGAACTGGGACCAGGCTCAGAAGTGGCTCAGCAGTTGGATGGCTTAAGAGGCTCCAACGGGTTCCTTCTTCCTTTGCACTTTTAACCAGCTTTTCTGACTGACATATCAATGGGTGCCTTCTTGATGCTGGCCCAGTGCAGGGACACAGGTCCCCCTGTACAGTGGTTCCTTTAGCAGGGACGGGGCCTGGGGTATCTTGTGTCCCCATCACCTGGTGTAGGGTCGCAGATACTGTGGCTCTTTAGAAAAGCGTGGCTGAGTGGATCAGAAATCCTGCCTCAACCTGGTGGGCAAGGCAGCTTTGGAAGCAGATAATTATGGTGCACAGAGGCCTGTGATCATGTCTCAAGAGCTCTGCTTGGTGATGCGAGCACAAAGGGAGGAAGCAGTGGGCTCCTGTGCAGGGATCAGACCGAGCTTTGCCCAGGGCGTGTTGGTTGGGATGGGTGGGATTTGGACTGGGGTTGGGGGAGGGCTCTCCTGGCAGAGGGCCCAGCCTGAGCAAAGGCACGGAGCAGGGAAGGCTGGGAGGCGCCGTGTGCTGAGACCACAGCGGTGTGAGGTGGGCAGGGGCAGGTGAGGCTACACAGGCAGGCATGAGGGGAAGGAAGAGAAAGATTCTGAAAATGGTAGGACTTCCTTCTCCTTCCATCCCCAGGGCCTGCTTGGGAAGCCTGTTTGTGTAATACCTCTGCTATTTTACATGAATAAATAAAATAAATCATTGCTCTCCATTCCCTCAGGGGGCAAAAACTGGGCAGAGACAAGTTTGCTCAGTGCATGTCTCTGCCAGACTCCACTTCCTCCTCCTCCTGTTCGCACTCCCTTCCCCCTTCCCAGGAAACCAGGGAGAGGCATTGGAAAAAGCCGGCCTGGTCCCTGTGACTGGATCACTGCGTGCATGGGAGGGGCTGGGGTGTCCGCTGAGGGTGAGAGGTTGGTGAAAGTCTCTCTCCTCGTCAGTCCCCTGGGCTAGCCCTTGAGGCCTTGGGGATGTTGGCTCACTCTGCCTGCTCCAGGCAGAACCTGTCAGTGCTGATGGGGGAGGAGGTGGCTGGGGCCTGGCCACTCCCCTCCAAGGGCCTCCCTACTGTCCTGGCTCAAAGAGGGAACCACTCAGCCCTTCAGGGAGGGAGGGGCCTGTCATGAGGCGTCTGCAAGCCCATGCAGGCCAGTAGTGGGGAACCACCACTTGAGGCTGTTTGGCGAATTTCTGCAGGGAAGGGAGGCTGGATGGAATAGCTCCAGGTCTTTCCTGGTGCTGACACTTGATGACTTTCATAGTCTGAAATCCAGGGGTGTTTCTATGATCTCTGTTGGGCTGCGACTGGACTCCATGGCTGTGTGCGTCTTGGAGGAGGTGTTCTAAGTTTAGAGAGTGTCTGGGTCCATCCCAGTGACTGTGCAGCCCAAGCTCATAGCCCTGACCTGGGAGAGATTCAAGGAGAGGTCCTTTCTGTGCCAAGAACCCACAGGCCTTGGGTAGGGTCCCGAGCCTGGCCCCCTTTCAGCCTATGGCCCCAAACATGCATGTCTGTCCCCCGAGGGCCTTAACCGAGGGTGCAGCTCAGCAGACCAGTCCTGCCCTCCACCAACTTCAACTTTCTCATCCATAAAATGGGGATCTGGTACTCACCTGCGGAGTTGAGGCCGTGCTTCAATGGGAAATGTGTGTGAAGGCTCTTTGTATATTGTAAAGCGCTGTGCGTGTGGTTATAATCGTAGCTGCTGTTGCTGCGATGAAGTCTTCTTCTTGAAAGGAGGGGCCATGTCTGATTCTCTGTGAATCCCTCTTGGGTCCCAGCAGTGCCTGGCGCATAGGGGAAGCATTCACTGAGTGAACTAAAGAGCCTTAGATGTGGAACAGATCGTTCGGGGGCCGGGATTCCCAGGAAGCCAGCTCTTCCCGAAGGAGAAGCGGGGAGTGCTTCCTGCAGGAGGGCAGCCAGGAGCGACCAGAGAACCAGAGAACCCACCACTGGGAACTTCCCTGAGAGGAAGAGCAGTCAGGAGTCTTCTGGGAGAGAAGTGTTGGCTAAACAGGAGGCCCTGGCCCCTCAGTGGAAAGAGATTAATAATAACCCTAATTACGGCATGATTGATTCTTTGATGGCTCCTGCTAGAGTCCCAGCCTGGCCCACTGAGTAGCTTTTCCCTAAAGAAAGAGTGGCCATGACAGGGGGCTGCTGGCCCCCCAGGCCCCTTCCTGTACCTCCTCCCCCAGCCTCTCCCCACTGGCAGCTGCCTCAGTGACCGACTTCCTTCCTGCCCTACACCTGCTTATCTTCTCTGCTAATTTCATTAGGATCTAGGGCTTTCTCTGAGGCCCAGAGAAGTGGAATAACTTGCCCAGGGCCACACAGTGAGATGTGGCAGCCCACATCTCTCAGGTTAAGCCATCTAATGAGGCCCGGGCAGCGGGGAATGTAATGACTGAACATTCTTCATAAGCTAAGCTCGGAGGCTGTGCCAGAGAGTTGTGGGGTGGGGTCTGGAACTGGCTGGTCCGGGGAGTGGGAAGTCCCAGAATCAGCCCTGTCCCCCCATCTCAAGCCCCAGCTCTGGGGCCAGTGGTTTGTTTTGTGGGTTTGGCTTCCGTTGGTTGTTTGGAGAAACAGCCCAGCTGGCGAGCTGCCTGGGGGGTGCCCTGTTGCCCCTGGGTCCTCAGAGGGCTGGGAGGCTACTGTTGGCAGCAGACCCCACTGTCACCACCAGACGGAACCCACATGGGGATTAACTTGCTGCTGGAGCCCTCAGCCCTGGGAGAGGCACTGCCCACCCCTCCCTGCCACCAGGCTTTCCCTCTGCTGTCCCCTTACCTAGAGCCCCTTCTTCCCTGTTGTGCTACAAATCCTCCTTTATTTCTGAGTTCTGTTGATATCCACCCTCTCCAGGAAGCCACCCTGCAGTAATCAGAGCTGGGACCAGAGGAAGCATAGAAATTGTGGATCCAGAAGGGACCTTGACCTAGGCAGGGCTGGGTTCCTGGAGGAGAGGCTGCTGAGCTGAGATGAGTAGGAGTTTGCCAGGCCTTGAGGATGGGCAGAGGAGCCCAGAGCTACGGTGGTTTCACAGGCACACCTGCTTGGGGACAGGGGATAGTCATGGCCGTGGGGAAGGACAACAGGGAGGCCCTTGTCTCGCTCCAGTCCCTGAGCACTGTGAGGAGGGGTCCCCATGGCCCTGCGCCTTTTACTCCTTGAGTTTCACCCTAAGTGAAGTTTGGGCTCCTCACTGAGTTGTCCAGGCCATGACTGCCCACACCTTGGTCCCTGTCAAAGATGTGGAGACACCTGGGCAGCAGCAGAGCCCTGGCCGGGGCTCAGGGTGACCAGGCCTCTAACTTTGTCGCAGGCCTTCCTGCAGCTTTTGTCCTCATCTCGACTACCCCAGTCAGTGGCAAGCTGCTGACTTCCAGCCGCTGGTCCTGGGCATGGAGGGGGCTCTTCCTCATCAGATCAGGCAAGGACTGTGGGATTTATCCTTCCATCCCTTCCAGCAACCCCATCTCTGCTTATCTCTGGGGGATGAGGAGAGAGCAGGTGGTGAAAGGGTTTTAGAAGCCGAGTGCCAAAAAGGCCCTTGGAGATCATCTGATGTTGTTCAAACCCTCCCGTGATACAAATGGGAATGCTGAGGCCAGAGGCTTGTGGAGGTCACCTGTTCCCCCATCTCCAGCCCCAAGGCAAGGCTAGGGTTGAGGCCCAGTGAGGACAGCCATGGCCAAGGAGAAGGGGAGGTGGTCCCCCCTCCACGGGTGTGCCCTGCCTCCTTCCCTGGGGCCCTGGCAGGTTGTTGGAGGAGGTCAGGTCTGTGCCTCCCTCAACCCGGAAGGAGTCAGTGAGAGGCAGGTTTCTTTTTCCTCCCTGGGGTTCTTGGCCCCACACTCCACACCCCTGCTTCTTTGGTGCCAACCAAAATATTGAACTTGGCCCTTTGAGGTGCAATTTGCAGTGACAAATGCTGTGGCTGGCATAGGCATAGACATGGAAGGCGGCAGAAACATGGGCAGACGCTCCCTTTGGGGCTGGTGCCATGGAAAGACTGGGCTTTAGGATTGGCAGCCCGGGTTCGTATCTTCTCTCTTCCACAGCTGTTTGGCCGTGGGTGAATCACTTAATCTCTCAGGCCTAGATCCATTGATCTAGCTATCTACTGATCAGTCAACATAGATGTTTAAATTAAATACATATATAGTTAATTAATAGACTATTTTTTATAACAGTTTTAGGAAAATTGATTGGAAAGTACAGAATTCCTACATAATCTCCCTCCCCCACCCCATGGTTTTCCCTTTTATTAACATCTTATGTTAGGGGAGTATATTTGTTGTAATTGATGAGCCAATATTGATATGATATTATTAACTAAAGTCCATAGTCTATGGTAGGGATCACTCTGTGTTGTATATTCTCGGGGGGTTGACAAATGTTTAATAACAGATATCCATCATTACAGTATCATACAGAATAATTTCACTGCCCTAAAAATCCCGTGCTCCAACCCCTGGCAACCACTGATCTTTTTTTTTACTGCTTCCATGGTTTTGCCTTTTCCAGAATATCATATAGTTGAAATCATATAGTTTGTAGCCTTTTCAGATTGGCTTCTGTCCTTTGGCAATATGCTTTTAAGGTCCCTTCATGTATTTTTCTGGCTTGATAGCTCATTTATTTTGTTGCTGAGTGATACGCCATTGTCTGGATGGACCCCAGTTTTTTCATCCATTCATCTGGGGTCCATATTTCTCATCTGTAAAAGAGCTCAATTAAGCTCTGCTTTGGACGGTTGTCATCAGGAGCTGAGGCAGGTACAAAGCTCAGCATGGGCCCCACAAGCCCCCACACCACCTTCTATGACCAGCTTCTTTCACTTAACATCCTGTTTTCAAGATTCATTCATGTTGTAACATGTATCAGTGTTTTATCCCTTTTTATTGCAGCCTTGGGCTTTTCTGTGTCACTCTATCTAGTCCCCACTCCTCAGACAGGTGAAGTAAGGCTCCAAGGTCACACAGCAAGTCAGTTGAAGGAGACCAAGCTGGAGTCCTCTTTCCATACTCAGGAAAGAGAGCAAGCTTGGGGCCAGGGACAGCGGGCTCTGGGGGCAGTGAGGGCCTGCCAGTCATGGGAGGGACAAGGAGCAGGGGATTGGGTGAGGTGTGTTCCCAGGATGTCAGGAGAGAGAGGCCCCTGGAGGTGTGGACCGATCCCCAAATCTATTACTCCATCTCACTCCTGACTCCTGGAAGGCCCCTCCCTGTGCAAACAGGAGGCTGTGGAAGTTCAGGGCAGGGACCAGGAATTCAGACAGAAAACAAGACTCAGGGCTGAGGAGGGCCCTCAAACATCAGACTCTGAGGTGAGAGCTTTCTCTTGTCCCAGAGCCAGTGCGGGCTCTGGGCTGGGGTTTCTTTGGAACTTGGCTGGTATCAGCAGCTTTGGGAGGTGGCTTGGAGAAATCAATTAATGCTAAGTAATGCCATTAGCGCTGGCAGGAAGTGGGGCGGGTGGGGAGGGTCTGGTCTCTGGGAGCTTGTCCCGACTGCCCAAGGTCTGGGCAGCACATCTGTTAGCAGAACTTCTGGACTTTCTCAGAAGTGTAGTCTAGGACGCCCCCAGGGCTGCCTCCCCGTGCTGCCCTGGGGATGTGGGAATAACTCGAGTAGTCCCATGGGGGAGACGGGCATGTCAGCGGTGCTCACACAGGCTGCCCAGGAAGAATGAGAAACGCTGGGAGCCCTCTAACCAAACCTGGGGCTCGGGAGAGGCTCCCAGGCGGAGATAACATCCAGAGGTGTTAGCCAGATGAAGGGACAGCAAGCTCTGGAGTGGTGAGGCTGGGGGAGCCGGATCCTAGCCATCTGCCTGCTCAAAAGCTCACTCTGGCTGCAGGTGAGAGCTTGGCTTGGTGGGGCAAGGCCACTGCAGGGAGGCCAGAGGATTCCCCATCCAGGGGAGAGATGAGAACTGGCCAGGGCAGGGCCGAGGGGATGGTGATTAAAGGGCCTTGAGGGATGTTAGAGGCAGGTTGGGGGTGGTGAGGAGGTCACTGTGTGCTGGGTCTGCAGGACCTGGGTGACCCCCTGGAGACAGCACTGTGCTGTTAGCTGTCTTGATGGCTTCAGGAGAACGTGTGGAGGAAAGAGAAGTTTGCCTCTCTGAGATACCCCTGCAGTTATGAATACTGTGAGAATTCATGGTGGGGGAGGGGGAGAAGGCGTGCAGGAGGGGAGTAATTCCAAGAGCTACAATCAGCTGAGTCCTGGGCGAGGCCTGGAGACCTGGAGCGGGCCCTTCTACTTCCCTCTTTTCCAGGTTTGAAATGGAAATTCCATTCCTGGGTGAGTTGTAATGCTCAGTCATGGGGCTGGGGAGGGGGAGAGGTGAGAGGACACATGGGAATCAGCCCCGGGTTGGGTGGGGGAGGCGGTCCTGGGAAAGGAATGTGAGGATGAGGGAACCTGCTTGCAGAATGCCCACCTGCTGTACCTCAGTCACTGCCGTGAAGTGCCCTCCTGGCATCCCCCTCCCCAGTCATCTGATCTTTTTTAGAAGTCAAGGCAAAAGCTTAAGCCAAGGCTTAGGGAAGAGCCCTGAGTGGCTGTGGCTACAGGGCAAGCCATTGGCCAAGGGGGGATGAATCTGGGCTTCTTTCTACATATCAGCTGCCTCCTCCCTTCCTGGGGAGGTAGGGGCAGGGGTGGTGGCCAACCTGACAGTGGAGGCCTTCATCTGGGGGTGCACATGGTGAGACCTGGCTCCCTGGCTGTGAACTCTGGGCTTTGACCCCTCTGGAAGGCCGTGACCATAGGAGTACATTAGTGAGCACACACTCCTAGAGAGGAGGAAAGTAAAGCCACGATGATCTCCTACCTGCCCACCCCGGCCCCAACCTCCCCAGCCTCCTGAGAGCTAAGCCAACTGCAGTAGCATCCCTTCCTATCCTATCCCCCAGGCCCTGGGCTCTGCTCAGAGAGTCCACAGGAGCTGTACCATGTTCCAAGGGGCTCCCCAGGGAGCCGCGGGCACAGAGGCTGCATCAACAACTCCCAGTGATTAGGAGGATCCATGTCAGCCAGTATTCCCAGCAAGCCCCTGATGCATCTCCCTACCCGGACTGGAGGCTGTAATCCCTGTGTGAGGTTAGCACTTGGGAGTGAGGGGAAGTAGGGGGTGTTAGACAGGCCCCGAGTAAGGCCCAGACGTGGAAGTAGTTGGTGGGCCTGAAGCCCGCTGCCCCTGTAGTGTGGCCTCTGGGGCCTTAGCGAGAGGAGCTCATCTTGCCTCAGCTCGGCGCTGCCTCTGGGAAGCAGCCCTGACCCTCCCCATACCTGTTAAGCCCCTGCAGCGCCCTTTCCTCTCTCCACTGTATGCTGCACTCGCAATACCAGTTCCTGGGCCATCATAGCCTTGTGGTTACAGGGTCAGCAGACTGTCCTTGTAAAGGGCCAGGCAGTATGTATTTTAGACTTTGTGGGCCACATGGTCTCTGTCATAACCCTGCAGTTATACTTAAAGCAGCCATAGACAGTACATAAGCGAATGAATGGGGCTGCGTCCAATAAAACTTTATTTATGGATACTGAAATTTGACTCTTCTATAATTTTCACGGATCACAACATATTTTTGTTTTTGTTTTTCACCCCCAGCCATTTGAAAATGTAAAAACCATTCTTAGCTTGTGGGCTGCAGGAAAATATGTGGCTGGTTAGATTTGGCCCATGAGATAGTTTGCCAACCCCTGGGTTAGAGCAAGGAGCCAGACTGCTGGCCTCTGCTGGGTGACCTTCGACAGATGGCTAAACCTTGCTGTGCTTCAGAATTCTGATCTGTAAAATGGGGATGATAGTACTTTGAGAACGTAAAATAGTGCAACAGTTTTGGAAAACAGCTTCAAAAAGTTAAACGTAGAGTTACCATGTGATCTAGCAATTCCATCCCAAAGTATGTCCCAAGAGAAATGAAAACATACATTCACACGAAAACTTGTTTATAGCGGACTTAACCAAAAACTCTATCAACTGGTGGATGAATGGATAAAATGGTATATCTATACAATTAAATATTACTTTGTCATAATAAGGAATATGGCACTGATTCAGGCCATAACCTGAAGTGAAAAAAACAAGACACGCAGGGCCATGTATCATATGATTCCATTTATATGGAATGTCCAGAATGGGCAAATCCATAAAGACAGAAAGTAGATTAGGTTGCTGGGTGGGCAGGGGCTGGGACGGGAGTGGGGGAGTGACTGCTAACGGGTATGGGGGACTCTGTTGGATGATTAGGTCATGGGTGGGTGGCAGGGCACTGTCCTGGGGGACCTGCAAGGATACGCCTCTGACTCCAAGAGAGACAGGGACCTATTGCAGGGCTCTGAGCAGAGGCTGACCCACCCTGACCTAGACTACAATGACACGTGCTGTGTTGGGGCCAAGTTGCCACCCTTCCCCTGCCTCACAGGCCTGTGCTTCCTCCTGCAGGACCAGTTGGGGGCCTCCATGGGCGCCTGAGGGCAGGGCACCAGGGCCGCGGGCACGAGCATGGTGAGACACCAGCCCCTGCAGTACTACGAGCCACAGCTGTGCCTCTCCTGCCTCACGGGCATCTACGGCTGCCGCTGGAAGCGCTACCAGCGCTCTCACGATGACACCACACCGGTGAGCTGTGCTGGGATGGGGACAAAGGACCCAGGGAGCCCCAGGGTCTGGAGAGAAGGGTCTCAGCTCTGTCACTCTGCTGTGTGGCTCCGGACAGGCCACCGCCCCTTCTGGGTTTCAGCTTCTCCCTCTGTAAAATGGGCCTGTGGTAATTTCCGAATCTACCTGACTTGGTGGGCAAGGAAGTAGGCCAGCCTGTCATGGGTGTGGCTAGTTGTTAACTCTTCTCTGACGGTGTAGGTGCTGGGCTGCTCTGGGCAGGGAGGGCTCTCCCCAAGGTGAGCAGAAGTTCTCAGCTTCCTGGCAGATCCGGACCAGGCAGGAGGCTAGAGGGGAGGGTGAGGAGGTAGGTCAGGCCATCCTGGAGCCTGGGAGCTGGCAGAGTCATCGCCTGGCACCAGGGCCCAGTCACCTGAGCTGCTAGCCTGCCAGGGCTGGCAGCAGGTGCTCAGCCAGATAAAGAAAGCCTCCTTTAGTGTCCGGCTTCTCAGGCCAGACCCCTAGCCGCACTTCCGTCCCTGGGGCGCCATCAGCCAGTGGATCTAGTTTCTTCTCTGAAGGAACCCAATTCCTTCAGGAGGGAATGGAGAGAGAGATAAATGGTGTTTATCTAAAAGCTTTGCTGTCTGGAAAACAACTTTTCTCCTCCCTCTGGCTTGTCTGAACAAAGAAGCCAGCCTCCAAATTCAGCCAGCCCCTAAACAGGCCAGAGTGGCCAAGGGCGGGGTGGCGGCTAAGGTCAGAGGCCAAGCATCGCCGGGCTGTCTGGATGGGGAGGTTGGGGAAGCTTGTCTGCCTGTCTGCCCTCCTCTGCCTCTGCGGGGAGACACAGAGCGCTAGGCTGAATCAGGAGCCTGGGGTCATGACCCCCAAAGGTGAGAAGCACGTACCACCTGGTGGGCACCTGGCCTGATTTGTTACCATGTCTCCAGTGTAGCACAGAGGAGGCAGGGAGAGGAAGGGGCCTGCCCAGGCCTACAGAGCAGGCTCCCACCCGGGACAGCCTTGCCCTCTAATGTGGACCTAGAATCTCCTCAACAGTGGTGCAGGCTGTCAGATCAGGAGTTAGGCAGCCTCAAGTTCAAGTTGTACTGACTTGACTTTGAGCCTTCTCACCTAGTGTTAAACAACACCCACCACTCTCAAGGAGCTGCTGTGTGGATGGCGTGCGGCACAACATGAAGTGACCGGCACAGTGCTGGCTGTGGCTAGCCTTAGGCAAGTCATTCCTGACTGCCACGCCTCGGCCTCTTCACATCTGAGGTAGAAGCTGGGTTGGGTTAAGACTTCAGAATTCCTTAGTCCCTCTGCTTTATTCTGAGCTCCATTCTCCCCTGAGATGGTAGAAGGGAGGCAGCAGGGCCTCCGTGTGTCAGGAAGGCCGGAGCTCGCAGGCAGCTGGCACCCGGGTGTCTGTGTGCCAGGCGCTGAGGTGAGCTAGTTGTCATTGCCACCACTTCACATGGGTAACAGAAGCCAGGGACGTCTGTAACCGGGCCGAGGTCACACAGCCGATGAGGGGCAGAGCTGAGATCTGGCACTGTGTGGTGTGGGCCCAAAGCTCTTGGGGAAGTTGGGAAGGGGGAAGGGGAGAAGCTGAGCCTGAGGAAGGGAGGAGAAGGCTGGCTGAGATCCCAGCAGACAGCCCTTGGCTGTCGAAGTAGACACTGGAGGAAGGTGGATCTCCCAGGCACCTCACACCTCATGGTGGGCCCAGGGCCAGCCAGTCATAGGCTGTGGAGTCAGGAAGTGACAGGTCTTGGCTGTAGCCAGCACCAGGCCCAGGGTGGAGGAAGTGGTGCGCTGAGGCCGGTTTTGTGCTGGTGCAGGCTCTGCAAATGCCAAGGCCCAGGGTGCCAGGTACGGGGTGATGGCAGGAGGCTGTGAGCCACAAGGCAGCTTGGCTGGGAGAGGGGAGAGGGTTTGCAGCACCTCCGAGTGGTGGGGCCTCTGCAGAAAGGGCTGAGCTTACCTCAGGCAACCCCAGCCTCCCAGCTGAGGAGGTGTCTCCTCCCCCTTCCTCCCACTTCCCTCCTACTTCCTGGGTTCCAGCCTCAGCCTGCCCCCCTTCTCTCCCCATCTCTCTCCTCTCTTTTCTTTCCCCAGTCCCTCCCCAGACAGCTGGGCCAGGACAGGGATGGGGGGCTGGGCTTCTGGCCTGACACAGTGAAGGGAACAGCAGTCTGGGATCTCAAAGTCAGGGTCAGTGCAGAGAAGCTTCTCTGTGAATTTTGCTGAACAAATAGAGGCCCAGAGTGAGCTCTGGGAGCACAGGCTGGGAAGTGAAATGAGAGCCCCTCGGGCCTGGCAGGTGGAGAGGCCTCATCCCCAGATTCCCCTCCTCCTTGTGAACTGCCCCCTCTTAGGCATTGCCTTTCCTCAGGACCTCTTTGAGGAGTCTCTTGTTGAGCACCTCTTGAGCACCCATTGTTTACAGGGAGCCTAACATTGCTGAGTTTATTGTTTTAATACCCCTGTGGGGCATGCTGTTTATGGATGGAGAAATCAAGGCTCCAAGCCATGTCATACCTGGAGTTCTTGAGAGATCTGCAGCAAGAGCCTTAGGAAGATAGAGGCTGGGGGGAAGGCAGGGCGTTTTGAGTCTGGGTGTGTTTCAAGGAGAAGAAAGGAAGGGCAGGGAGGAGGACTTGGAAAGTTACCTGTTTCAAAGAGAGAGCACTGGGCCAGGAGCATTTGGGACAAGATAGGGAGTGAGTGGCTTGAGTACCAGACTAGGCACCCTCAGTGCTTCCCTGGTGAGGATCTGGCCCTGTGGTCCTGGAGTGGCTCCTGGGGAGGGCAGAGGCAGGGCAGGGAGTTTGGGAAGGAGCCCCCTCCTCTCCCCAGGCTGGCCTCCTTCCTTCCTGTCCCCTCCCCCCAGGACACACACTTGACAAATAAGGAAACAGGAAACTGAGGACTGGGAAGAGGTGAAATGACCTCTTCTCCTGTCCCCCAGCACGAAGGGAGTGGAGGAGCCTGGCAGCAGGAGGCCGGCTCTCTTGACAGCTAGGAAGGGGAAGCAAAAGCTTTTTATAACTAGGGATAATTAATTGGTTGTTGTCTGTGACTCATTACTCTACTACTGCCAATTAAGGACGGGGCAGGACAGAAGACAGTTCTCAGGCCGTCCCCACAGGGCCCCCTGAAGACTGTGCATCTGTGGGAGGCAGCACAGTGTCAAAACCAGCTTCGCTGTAGCAAGGGGGATACAGGTCAGATGCCTGGAGGAACTTCCAGCCCGAGACACTGCAGGAGACAGACCGTGATAGTCAAGTCTCTTGTACTTCTGTAGTACATTTGCCTTTCGAAGGGTATTTTAAGCTTGTTGTGATCCCCTTCTTCTTATGGATGGGGCTCCAGGAAGAGGAAGTGATCTATTCAAGCTAAGGTGCAGAAGGCACAGCATGCATTGCCCCTGACTGCACCCCCAGTCCTGTGCCCTGTCCCCTGACCCACAACAACAGTCTTGTCTGGGCAGGACTGGTCACTTATTCAGTCAACAAACCTGTCCTGATACCTGCCCTGGGTCTGGGGGTCTCAGGTATATCAAACCTGGTTTCTCCTTCCCTTGAAGGGCTCCCAGGAGGGTGCAGAGCAGACAGGAACTGACATCCAGACCACCCAGGTTGATCACTGCCAAGGCCCAGGGACACCCCAGGCAGGAAAGCTTGTCAGAGAGTTAGCTGGTCATGTCATGCCAAGTGGGAAAGTATTCAAGGCAGGGGAGCTGCGTGTTACAAGAGTGTCCTGCGTTTGGAAACTGAAAGCAATTCAGCCTTGGGGGGCCAGGGTGAGGAGAGGGGGAGAGTGCGGCCCAGGGGGCTGAGCCAGAGGCTGTGCTAGGGAGCCTGCTGTCCATCCTGGGCGGTGGGAGCACAGGCGGACTTGGGCTGTGTGGGGACCCCTCTGGCTCAGTCATGGAGAATGAGCTGAGGGGCCTTGAGTGGAGGTAGGGAGGGCAGGGAGCCAGATGAGAAAGGCTGAGGCCTCAACAAGGGGAAGGGGTCTGCATAGATATAACAAAGGGAGGGAGTCTAGGTGCAGAAGCATCTAGAAGGTACAGTCGAATCTTGATGATGCTCCTGTCATCCTATGATTCCCACCTGGCTGAGGCCGTTCCTGGAGGTGGGAAACCTTGCTCTGCCCAGAGTGGGCCCGGTCTCAGCAGAGGCCAGGAATAGCGCGGTAGAGCTGGGGGGAACACAGAAAAGATTATCTCCCCCAACTGCCTACCTCTTTCAATGGGAGCCCCTCCCACCATGAAAGGAAGACACCTGCAGTGAGGAAATCCATCAACATGCCTTCACCCTTTGCTACACACACCACACACACACACACACACA